ATTGTTTTATTCTAGACATTTAGATGTACAGTCATTTTATTCACTAATTTATTACCTTCAAACATATGACATAATAAATACAGCTGAAGGAATTAAAAAAAAGTGTCGACTGATTTCTAAACAAAGCATTCTCATTTCATTACTTTCAGTACTTTGTACTCAGAATTCCATCAAACGAAGATAGAAAACCGTCATTCGAGCTTGATTGAATTTTTCATTTCCAACACTTTTCTCTATTAGAAGCGCAAATCAAAAAAGGAAAAGATGCCAGGGTAAGTAAAGTTCGGTAAAGTGAAAAGCAAAAACTGCGCCTCAGCGTATATTTATTCTAAACTGGATAAGAAAGAACATAATTTGACGTTGAGCATGGCATTCGAAATTGCATTAAAGAGTAAAGAACTGCCGTAGATAAGGTTCTATAGAATTCTATTGTTAATGGACTCTATCTCGTATTCTCATTTAGTTGGAAAGAAAGAAACAATTTAGGTCCATGAAATTCTTTTCGCCACTCAATACATTCAAAAATTCTATTATTTCCATTACGTTAGTCAAGCTGTAGTGAAAGGCGTAAGCACCTATTTGACGTATTGATCGGAAATACATAGGAATTATCTTATTCTTCAAACGCTTGGCTCAAATAGTGCCTCATCAGATTCAGACACAATTCAAAAATGTGCGTCGGTCTGAATCAGAATAAAATTAAGTTTTATAACTGTCATTTTATTGCGAAAATAAAGGCTTTATTCAAGGAATTTTGTTAGTTTTTATTTTTACAATTTTTTTTATTTAAACTTTTTAATTTCCATGTTTATGAATAGCAATGTCTAAATTCGAAAACTAACTCAAGTTGAAGTTAAATGCAATTTAATAGATTTAATGCAGTAAATGATTTAATGTGGTAAATACAATTTAATAGATTTAATGTAGTAAATGAGAAATAATAATATATAATTGAAGGTGTGAAAAAAAACTTGTTAAGTATAATTTCGAGAACATTGAACTTAAATTTTTATGATTATACTATGCCTAGTTGTAGGCGTAGAACACTATTATTTTTAATGCTTCTATAACTGATGATTACCTATTTTTTTATTAACGAAATGTCTCTGCTTTCATTTATATCTTGTAACTATTAAATAGAAAACTACTCGCTTAAATGTAATAACATATTATTTAAAGGTTCGGAAATGCGTGAAAATTGTTTTTCTCTCTTTTGCATCAATAAATAGAGTTTTTTGTCACGTAAGTAACTCGGTAAATCTCTATACAGATTATAAAATATGCCCCTGACCCTAAATATATTTAAAAGTTTAAACAAACCATTATAAGTTTTAAAGTTTGAGGGATTACTAATGTGATATTTTGCTTAAGAATAGCTTATTCTAGTTCAAATTTCAAATAAAGTAATTAAGGAAATAAATAAAGACCTTAAATTTTTGAAGTGATTGTTACAGGATCTACTTCAGGTAATTGAAAGAATCGAATTATTGAGGTAACATCGGTTTTTAATCAGTTGCTCACATGCACTTTTGTCTCAGATAGCGGTACTTTTTTTCTGTAAACCATATGTACAAAGTAAAATACAAATCATTATCTGATTCATTGATTTTTTAATTATTTGTAAGACCATTTTACCGATCTATTCAAACTATGATATTATATTTTTCGTAGAAAGAAAACTTTTTTTTCCAAAACAACTTCCTTTTAGAAGAATTGGAATCTACGTTAGCTTAACCTAACTCCAACATTATTGACAAAAAGACGGATGAATCAAAGCAAATTACAACGTTCAGATTTCTTTACTAAAACCAAAGCAATAAGTTTAACCTGAGAAACAAACTAAGAAAGCGCATAAAGCCTATAGTACATTGAATCTGATTTCTGTTATCTAAGGTATCTCAGTTAAAAATGGTCCATATAATCGATGTTATACTGTAATTAAGCTACAAGATGAAATACTTCTCTTTACGCTTTCCTTTATAAAAATATACTTAGTCCACAGTAATCTCTGCCTTCAAAATATATTTCTCAAGCTAATGCCAAGCATAAAATCAAAAAATATAATCGCGATGAATCAAAATTTAAGTGTGGTTAAAACTAAAGCGAGATCAAAAACTAACAACAAATCATTTGCAAAGTTAATCTCATTGAAAATAAAGCTAAAAGCAGCAAAATCAATTTCATTGTGGAATTTATATTATATACAATTCAATTATATTACATAATTATTATATAAAATGATATATATAATTATATCTTTAATCAATTATTTATATAT